ACACTAGGGTGTTTCTTAAAATTCACTACATTCTCTTTATTACCTTTCAAAATCTGAAAAATTCTGAATTCTGAGACACATTTGAAAAAGCATCCCCTGGAAGTAAATGTAAATATTCTGACTCCTGGAAAAGGAGAGTCTTCACCAGCCCCAACTCTCCTGCCAGTATAAAAAATAAATTGGCATTCTGGTTCATATTTCAATATTATATAAATTAATTAGTGTGAGTCTGATGCAAAGAAATTGATCATCTCTGGGTATGCTGGTAATGTCCAATTCCAGACTACAAAGATTGATGACCAGGCATTATAGTCATAATCCAGGGGTGGCACAAACCTGCCTAGAAACCAGTAGGCTTAGGAAACAGATTCTAAGCTCCTAAAGAACCTGTTTGCTTGTCTTTTGTCTTCCCTGACTGACCTGTCAGAAGACAAACCAACAGCTTTCCTATATCCCGTCCCAATCCTACCTCACTGTCAGCCTTCACTCAACCTTCTATAAAACTTAGAAAAAGGTAAAAAATTAAAATACAATAGAATATTATTAAGTAGCAACTTAATTTTTATCAAATTAAGTTACTAAAGAATCACTGAATAATTAAGAAATTAAACATGAGAACATTATTCATGTTACTTAAAAAGACATAATCCTATGACAGAGAGATGACCCTGATAATACCAGATAGATGACCATGATGACTTTTTTCTGATCTGTTTAGAGCCCTAAGGATTCTAAATATTTCTTCTAATGGTTAGGTAAAAAAGAGCAACTAAAGTTTAATTTTGAGTCTCACTTGTTTAGACTTAATTTTGAGTGATACATATTTAGACTTACTTTCATTTCATTTACAAAACATAGCAAGAAATCATACAAAATATATAGCTGACATTAACACTCACAAAACATGAAAAAGTTCAAGTTTAACCAACAAAATTTAAAGGGAAAATTAGGAAATATTTAATATTAATTTGACTCATTAAATGTCTGCCTCAGATCCTCTGTGAAACAAGACTGGTGACAAAAATATTGAGTACATCTGTATTAGTCCATTTCTGTTGCTTATAACAAAATACTTGGAACTGGGTGATTTGTAAAAAAACGAGATTTCTTGCTTACAGTTTCTAAGGCTGGGAAGTCCAAAGTCCAGGAAACACATCTGGTAAAACTCTTCTTTGGTGGTGGCTTTACAGCAATGCAGGGGTCTCACATGGCAGAAAATGGAGAAGCAGAGACAATGAAAAACTATCACTTCCTCTCCTTTTAAAGCCCTCAGAACCACCATCATTATATCATTCACTAACACAGGGTCCTACAATCTAATCACTTCTTCAAGGCCCCACCTTTCAATTACTAATGGGATTTCCCACCCTCAACAGTTACAGTGGGAATTAAGTTTCTAATATATGAACTTTGGGAGACAGAATTCAATCATTCCACAGCAATATCCAACCGCTTTTTTAAAAACTAACATTTATTAACTTATAATTACTAATAAATGTTTTAAAATAACATTTGTTAACTTACAACATTTATTAACATGTGACCTTTGCAGAGAATCTGGAAAATTTGAGGTACAAAGAAGAAAATTACAATCATCCTTAATTTTATCACCCAAAGATAAACAACGTTTACATTTAATTATATCATGAGCAGTTTTCCATGTCATTAATTCTTCTGAAACACCATTTCCCCCCACATATTCTTCAAAACATCTATATTTATGATTATGTCATACAAGAAGGTATGGCTGGATTTGTATATTTTCGTTGTTTTTTGATTAGTGGTGATTACTTGGCACATGTTATTACAGTATTACTAGCTTAATGCTTATGTTTATATCAAGCGAACTGAGAGTAACTTTATTGTGGACTTAATCCATGTAGACTTTGGTCACTGGGATTCTCTCACACACTTCTAAAATTAATTATGGACTTGAATGGATTCTGAATTTGTTTTTTTCTTTTTTTCAATGAGCAAAGTTGGGAATGGGTACCATGGTAGAAGAGAAAGGGAGGAAGGATCAAGAATGCTAGAGGCCCAGCATTAGGAAGAGTTCTCTAATTCCCTCATTTGTGATCATGGAAAGCTGGCAAATAGAATTTAGCTGAGGAACCTTCTGTTCAAGGACCAGTTGGGAGGAGGTGGAGGGAAAGTGATTCATTTCATCTTAAGTGTGCAAATGTCAATCCATGTTTACAGAGTAAATAGTGAATTTACGTAATTTCTTACCATAAGAGAAAAAATGCAAGTCTAGGAAGAGCTGTTCGGAATCTGTTGGGGAGAATGTTCCAAAGCATTTGTAAAATATTCATTATAATCTCACTCCCAAGTCATTTAGGAGGCAACTATTAGCAGTAGAATTGGCACAAGGTAAATCAAGAGTCTTATGGCATTTTAAAAGTTCTAACTATGCTTATTTTTGAAGAATAGATGACTTAGGTAATGCTTTCCATTTTTTTCTGTACATAACACTTATTTTCTAATAGCTACATACTGACCTATGTATCATATGACTATAATTTCTTCGTCTATCATTGGACATCTATACTGCTTTACATTTCTTTTACTATACACATGCAACATAGCAATTATTGTATTTGTATATAAATCATAGAATGACCTCTTACAGTGCCTTTGCCCATTCTTTTATTAAGGCTGTTATGGTTTTCCTATCAAGCTAAATAAGCTCTTTTTATATTAATGCTATGAATCAAATATTAATCCCAAATACATTCCACTTGCCTTTTTATTTTAACTATGTTTAAATTCAGGAGTTATTAATTCTACATTAAGTGTGGCTATCTTTCAAACACAAAAATATATAATGTATCATTATTTACTATTACTGTATTAACACATAACGCTAAAACTAACAGAAAAATTAAGAGAAAAATTAGTGGTGCCAATCAAAAAGTATTAAGTGGGTTAAGCCATTTGACTCATTACTTGTAGTTTAACTTGTAATTACATCTTAGAGGTAAAAGAGAACTTTTTGGTACATGCCTAATTTTAGGGGCAAAATATTATTTCCCCTATAGAGACAATTGAGGCCCAAAGAAATCTTTCAAAAAATTACAGACAAAACAAATATGTGCCTGATTAATACAAAAGTTCAACTGTTACATCCCAGCAATTTCCATTCTCATCTCATTACTACAAAAAAAAAAAAAAAAACCCTTTGAAATAGAAATGTAAGGCCATTAGCACCTCAGGGTAATAAACATAAAAATAAATTGTTATTTAAATAAATAATATTTAAACATTTGTTTATAAAACATTATGCTAGACACGTACAAGATAAAGGTGATTAACCTTCCCTTTCAAGAAAAATATAAAAAGTGAAGAATCGAATAGACAAAAACATTGTAGCAGGCAAAAAGCAAGATTCTAAGAAATAAATCTGTGATCATTTCACAGTGCGAAATTTAGAAGTTTTTTGATTTTCAAAATCTTAAATAGACTTTCATAAGGTAAGATCACAAGATTTTTGTCCTATCTAGCTATGTGATACCAAACAAGTCATTTTATTTCTACTGACCTTATTTTCTTCATCTTTAAAGTGAAGAATTGAAGACTTCTAGATAAAGATGGCAGACTGGAGCAATTCCAGGAGCTTATTTCTTATTTCCTCTCCCTTCCCAAACCTCACTGAACTGTCAGTAAAGAAATTTTTTAAAGGAGTAATCTATAATGACTAAGAGAACAAGAATGGAGCCATGAGCAGTGAAGTGATTTCAACCAATTTATGAAGATGGAAAGCAGTAGAAGAGTGTAACTAATGAAGCAAGGTAGATAGAGGAAGCCACAGCTCAGAATACAAACAGAGAATACAGTTGAAAAGAAAGCAAAACCACCAGAACCAACTGAACTCTAACACCAGGTAGGTAAGGAAATCTGGAATGATAAGCAAATATGCAAAATTAACTGAAATTCTAACCCTGAAAGTAATTTCCCAATCAACAAGCCTACATATATGCAGAGTCCTCAATAAATTTCTTATGGCTTTATTTGTCAATATGTATGAACAGATAACCAAAATTCACAAGACATTTGCAACGTGAAAGAGACCAAAATAAAAAAAATATATATCCTCTTCAGCCACCAACTTTTTAGCATGAAGAATCGCTTACCTCTATTCTCATACCAACACTGCTTCATGCTTTGAAACACCTGAGATGTCGCTCTTATCTCCAATTTCATTCATTTCTTGATATGTGCAAGTCAGAAATAGATATAATCCTGCAGGGTCCCAGCCCCGCGCAATATTTTGAATATATTTTTTTCCTTCACTCAAAAAAAAAAAAAAAATTCAAACGACTAATCCCTAATGCAAATGTCTGCTTAAGATTTTGAGCAACTGTGCGGAGCAATGTAACAAAATCATGTGTCTCAGACTGGAGAAACCAACTTTCGCCTGTCAACTTCGACTAGCACTTTTCTCCTTCACCATTTGTAATCCCCAACAGTTTTTTTCTATGTTACCTTATTTCTGTATCGATCAAGTGAGAAAACCAAGAGCGCTGAGATTAAAGAAATTAAAATTATGGAAACAAGTCTCTAAATCTGAAAACTAAGTAATGAAAGAACCATTTAATGAATAGGCACTTGCTACGTACAAAGTTAATGAAGGGGACAAAAGGCCGGTGCGTTCTGAGCACTTGACGGTGATTTACTCAATTTTGTGATCTCCCACTCTCATCCCTCCAGCACCTGGCATCTGCAGAAGCTCCAAAACTTGAGCTGACCTGGAGACGGTGATGTAACCGGAGGTGCTCTAGGCGGAACCCTTGGGAGAAATCGGGGGCTCGGGATGTAACTTTGTTGAGTGTTGTCTGAACAACGTTACGCTGTTTAATTAAAACAAAACAGGCTGCCGCTCTGTTTGACCGTGCATGGGGTACTGGCACGAACCGGGACAGGCGGTCTCTGAAAGGGACGAACCGGGACAACACTGAGGGATCCCAAAGGTCCGGGGCGAAAAAAAGGGGACTGTCACTTGCCTCCCATTCCTGCAAGAAGCGCTGGGCCTCGTCAGAACCAACGGTCTTATGTCTCCTAAATTCGTCCTTCACGTACTGATCGCCCAGGGCTTTGAGGTCCGGGGGCAGAGCCCGGTGCAGCTGCAAGAGGCGCCTATACAAATTCCGGACACGGGAAACATGCTGCGCCGGCATCGCACCGCTCGTGAGAGCCGACTGCGCCTGCGCAAAGGGAGGGCGCGGCCCCGCCCACCGCGAGGTCGCTTATTGGTGAACTGGAAAGCGGGCGGAAGACGGCACGCGACCTCCATCCGGTTTGGTACGCTCTAGAATCAGGTTCTTCCGGAAACCCTAGCTCTGCAGAGGGTGGAAAGCTGACCGCTCCTTCTCTGGGAGGGGCGTGGCCTTCGTGGAGTCGCGCGTGCGCCTTGTTGCGGCTTCTCTTGGGCTGCGTCCCTCCCTGACAGACGGCTAACCGGAGGTCTGGTGTGGGTCAGGTGTCATCTCTTAGTCCCACCCCACCATCTTTTCTTTTTATCTTTGTGCCTTCCCTCTTTTAAAGGCCTAAAAAAAACATTAGTTCAATATTGGGTTCCACCAGGAAGCCTCCCATGGTTAGCCCAACCCACTTGAGGCATCTAGAGTATTCCTGTATTCTGTGCGAGGGATCAGAGTGGGATTAATCTCACCATCCAGCCCAGCAACCCATGCACTTTGCACAGTGTTGTGCTCCCAATTTGTACCCTGAAAGGGTGGGCTCTTCCAACACAAGTGAGCCCTGAGTCAGCAGGCTACATTAGCCCGTCAAGTTGGTTATGGAAGAATCACTGGGAAGCTATCAAATGTATTGCTTCCAGGGTCACAAACCTGGAGATTCCGATTAAATAGTCTTGAATGAAAACGGAGAATCTAGACGTTTGCAAAGCTCCACCTTTTGCAAAGGTGATACTGAGAACGTTACTGATTTCCAAAGCTGGCAGCTCCTTGTCCTCCTTTCTCTCCCATCACACCTTTGGTCCTTCAGGAAATTTTGATGGCTCCACCAACAAAATGTATACAGAAATCAACCATTTCTCACCATACACTCTACCACAGTCTCTCTCGACTGTATATTGTCGGTCTGCTTCCAGCCATGACCAACCCTGATCATGATCCACCTTGTTAAGTTAAATTTGGCCTAAAGCTGCCTTACTTTGAATTTCTACATGATGAACTGCAACTTAAATTATTGTGTAAACAAGCTGCGATCTAACTAAGAGTACATTCTGCAGAAAGTAGCTGAATCTCAGCCGATCATAGCAGCTGAGCTTCAGCCAAACACAGGCTGCCAATTGATCAGATCATGTCCATATAAGGAAAATGTCTTGGTCATACAATGTCCAAATAATGTAAAGGCCCAGCTGTAACCTATCAAGCTGTTTCTGTAGGTCACTTCCCTTTCCTGTCTATGAATACTACCTGCCCATGTGGCTGGCTGGAGCTTTCTGAAGCTCTCCTGGTTCTGAGTGCTGTCTGATTCATGAATCCTTTTGAGTTGTTGTTGTTTTGGCTTGATAAACTACTAAATTTAATTTGTCTGAAGTTTTTCATTTAACAATGTAAGCTGTAAATCAGATCACGTCACTCCTCTGCTCAATAAAATCCCCCACTGGCGTTTCACCAGAGTAAAACCCCAAGTCTCCCTACTCCTAAGAGCTCCAAATTTTCTCCTATTGCTTTCTCCTCATTGGCCAGTTCCAACCACAATGGCCTTCTAGATAATAGTTCTTCCTTGAAAAGGTCAGGCCCACTCCCAGCTGAATGCTTTGGCAATTGCTGTTCCTTCTGCTTGGAATGCTCTGCCACTTACATCTTCTTGGGTAAACTTTTATTTAACTCAGCTCATTATTTTGAGTTCCCTTCTAATGAGACCCTCCTTGGCAATCCTATTTGAAACCCTACTTGAAAGAAATTGCAATATCACCAGGGCAATAACTCCCTATGCCCCTCCTCTATTTTGGTGTTTGGGGGGAATGTTGTTTTGTTTGTTTGTTTTCTGTAGTCTTTATATCTTTTACATATTTGCTTAAACTCTGTTCCTCCCCACTAGAATACAAATTCCAAGAAGGCAGGGTTTTTCTGATTTGTTCGCTGATGTATTAGTGACCAGCACTAGGTCCGTAATAAGCACTCAGTAAATATTTGTTGAATTAATATGTGAAACTTATTAATGGTGTCGAGTGCCTCTGATACCTGCTGGCGATGAAGAGGCAAGAATGTGTGAATTTTTTTGATTCTCCACAGACCCCCAACTTCTGTCTGTGCATGGACTTTTTGAAAGACAAAGAAGACACACACCCATATACTGAGGGCAGGAACTTACTCATTTTAGTAACGAGTAATGAGGGCCCACCCAGTGCCTTACACTAAGTAAGCACTCCAATATTATTGCCTGGAATAGAGTTTTTCCTTTTGCTTAAATCTAGGGAAAATATTTGTTTAAAAGAATACAGAACTTTTTAAAAAATGGATTTAATTTGGTATTGTGACAAACCACATTAATGTCAAGGATTGCATAGCAGTGTGGTTATTTTACTTTAGGAAATTTCTTCTAACCATACTTCACCTGTTAATATCCCTGTAAATTGAAAATTAATTTCTTGTTCCAGTTTATTTTTTTTACTGGTTTCCTTTGGGGTTAAAGTACATGTATAATAAATACTTCTTTCAGAGCCAAAGCTCTTATAAAAATGTGGAAAAACATTCTGCCAATGAATTAATAAAAAAGAATAATAAAAGAATTAATTCAGCCTAAAAAGAGCAGAAAAGGTCCACAGAGCATTGGGCAATCATTGCTCAGAAATGACTGATGATGGGTGAGAGAGTGGCTGAGACACAGTGGTGTGGTTAGGCCTTGAGGAGAGGAGCCGAGCAATAACGGCGAGAATAAGACAGATGATCTTTATTTATTTATTTATTTTTACAATAGGCTGGACAGTGAGTGTAGTTTGAGGTCCAAACTTTTTCTGTTTCCCTGACTTTGCAATTTATGCCATTCAAAGTGGCCATGAGCTGAAAATAAGATCTGAATTATATTCCTGTTTACTAATCCAGATCAGTACACTTCATGTAATCATTTCCTTTATTTTTCCTCTATGTGTTTCTTTTTCTTGTGTGTTATTCAGCAAGTCACTTAACCACTCTGTGCCTGGATTTTCTGACATGTCAAATGAGCTGGATTAGGTAATTCTCAGTATCTTCCACCTTTACTAATCTATAATCTATTTCTCTCATATTCCCTCCAAAATTTTTGTAAAGTGAAAGAGGACATGTATCTACTCTGAAATAATTGCTTTGAAAAGACTTGTTCAAGAAGAAAGGGGAGGTGCCTCAAAACTCTGTGGAATGCGTCACTTAAGCCCTTCAGGGCATACAATGTATGATAACCACATATGCTCATGAGGAAGATCAACACAGCAATTGCATTATTTGGTGTGGTGCTTGTGTGGACTGACTTTCACACAAACAAAGATGGAGGAAGCAGCTGTAGAAGTTTTTTGACAAGTAGACAGAGAAGTTTGAGATCAAAAGAGGTGGAGTGAAATGGTGAATAAGGAAAAGTAAACTGAAAGAAAGAGAGGAGGAATACCTGCATGAGCATACTGAATTGTTGCTTTGTATTATGCCCTGGTCTTTATATTACAATATTTAAAACAAGTCTTACTTACAAATAATATTAAAGCATTTTCCTCTACAGCAGAAGTAAGAAAGGATTGGGGAGTGGGAGAAGCTGGTGGAAAGATATGGAAACTGCTATATGTCATCATATAAGGAAAAAACACATCTGTAGGCTTGGAATTGGTTGCACAAGTGGCTCAGTTTTGAATTTATATTTACTTAAATTTCAAATTGTAAATCAGTGAGAATAATGAAAAGTCTGGGACTTTTCAAAGTCTGGGACAAATTCAAAGATACATCTTTGACTCAAACAACCTTCACGTGCTTAGAATCCTGGAGAGATGAACAAGCCTGATGTAACCATGATAACTACCTATAAGTCCCCTTAAACAACAAATGGTCCCTCATTTCCCACCTTACTTTGAAGTCTCAAAGTGTATATATATATATATATATATATATATATATATACACACACACACACGTATATATAGTTCGTGGAAAGATTCATGTTATCTTTTAATTTCTATTTTTCCACAAACTTTTGAAGTACCCTGGTGTGCGTGTGTGTGCATGTTCGTTGTATTTTTTTAAATGTCTGAGTTTATAAATGGTGAAACTGGGGCTACAGAAGTTAAGTGACTTCCTCAATTGAATAGGTTTAGACTACAGGGAGCCTGAAAAGGCACACAAAGCAGTTCACTATGTATAGCGTAGGAAATGAGGAGTTACTGAAAATTTAGAGCCCAGAAGACATGAAGTCCTTTAAAAAGAATTATCTGGCAGTCATGTGCAAAATAGACAATTGAAAGAATAAACAAACACATACTTTCATTCAAATAAAAGAAGGGCCTTGTATGAATACATTACAACAACATGCCTACACTGAAGAATATGATTAACTCTACTGTCTGCATTGAGTCAAAGAAGAGTGCAGGAGATTGCTAAGGGTTGATTACCTGGAGATGGGCAGAGCTCTGGGAGCACAGGCATGAGACTATGAAGGACACTGGACTTAAGGATTAACTCAAAATGGGGAAATGGGAAAAAGGGCTGAATCTCAGAGGTCTTCACGTTTTCTTTTACAGAGATGCAATTAACAAAGAGAAAAATCAGGAGGGAAAACTGCTTTAAAATGCATTTTATTTTAGTCATATTGAGTGTGAAGGGGCAGCCCAACCTAAATGATGCATTGAAAAGTTGCCTAATAGTGTCCATGCGCTTCCCTAACGGTCCAAGTCAGTGGTTCTCAATTTTCACTGTGTATTACAATCACTTGGAAAACTGGTTTTAGAAAATACTGATTCTTAGTCCTCACTTTGAACCACTTGAAATAGGCCTCACTCCAAACCTCTAAGAATGGGGCCGAAGCTTAGAAACTCCCCCGAAGTAATTCTCATGTGTAGCCAGGATTAAGAACCAATGGTCCAAATTCCTATCATGGAGATGCTTGGGTTCTAGGAAAAATACCCAAGATGTCAAGACACTTGTTAAAAATTATTAAGTGTTCATTCAGCCTTTTCAATACTAAGAAGTCCTTAAAACAATGGGGAC